TAATCCAATATTAAATGAATTTCTTCTGTCTTGACAATTGACTGAGGTCTGGTTATTTTTTTTAATCAAGGAATGAATTCTTTCGGCCGGCTATCTTCTCGCACGACAAAGAACAAGGCGTCGCCCCAACGGTGAACCGGCCTGCAAAACGTACTTTGGCGAGACGGAATGCAACTGCTAGGTTAGAGGATCGACCATAGCACTATTATTGCAAAACACTAGAGAAACCACGTCATTAAAGAGAACTGCACTAAATGCCCGGCCTTATGGGGAAATTTCTCTCATAAAATCAGCATTGAACATCAGATGTATCTCTTCCGAGCAGGTCAATCGCCCGCTCCTAAAGATCAATGTGGTGGGGGAGGGGGTGTAAGCTCAAGTAGCATTCACAAAACTTGATGGAACCAAGGCACAGAAGTAGTACTAGGAGTTGAAAACTGAACACGTATTCAAATGACCACAACTTTCTTTGAAAGGGACGAATTTTTAATTCGGAAGAAGAGTTGAAAGTTGCTTTCTGAATTAGACTCTTCTTCTTCGTCTTAGCGTTGTTGTCCAATTCTTGTCGGGTACGCTTTTTCCTCCAGAGTTTTCCAGCGACTCCGGTTCCATGCATCGGCTGCAGACAGGCCCGCAGCATTCATGCCGTACTTGTTATCTAGCCAGCGCTTGTCGGGTCGGCCTCTTGGACGTGTACCGACGAACATTATGTTGTCTGCTGACTTGGACACAGCATCAGTCGTCTTCGTTGGACATGATTGTACCAGCGGAGGCATGAGGCGATAGGTTGGGTTTTAATTTTGTCTTGAATGTTTCATTTCGAATGGGGTCTAGACGCGTGTGTCCCATGCACCATCGCAACATCTTCACCTCCATGGATCCATGAGCTCTTGTTTCGTCAACCGTCATTTGTTTCGTTTCTGCTCCATAAATGGCTATAGGCCTTACAGCTGAGGTGTATATCTTGGACTTCAGGTACGTTGACATATTCTTGTCACAAAGGATACAGGTGACCGTTCGCCATTTGTTCCATGATGCGTTAATTCAGGCAATCGTGTCGGCCTTCGTGTCTGTGTCCGCAGAGAGCATGGATCCGAGGTATGAGAATTTAGTCGTCTTTGGTAGGGGTGTTCCGTCTACAACAATTGACGATTTTTGTAGCCACGGTGCTCATATATTCCGTCTTGTTGATGTTGAGCTTGAGTCCATGATCATCGAGTTGTTTCTTCCAGCGGTTGATACGCCTTTCTAACTTTTCCTTCGATCGATCCATAAGCAACACATCGTCAGCCTAGCGTTAGAGGCGGCTCCTTCCGGATGTTCTCGTGGCATAATTCATGCAAAAGATGAAAAGTAGTGGGAAAAGGGCTGATCGTTGATGGACTCCACAGGTTACCGGAAACTGTGTGGTGTCTTCTACCGGTGTGCGCACGTATGCAGTGGAGTTGAGTAGGTCAACTGCACAGCTTTCACGAGGGCTTCCGGTACTTGTTGATATCTTAGAGATTTCCAAATGAGTTGTCTATCAAAGGCCTTCTCCAGATCTAGAAAGGCCATGTGGAGCGGCTTATTTCATTCATTTGCTTTTTCATCATCTGTCGGACAACATGAATAGCGTCGGTGGTACTGTGTTCATGTCGAAATCCACAGTGCGTCCGACTTATGCTGACTATCTCCCTTAGTCTGGCGTCTGAAATTTGTTCCATGATCTTTAAAGTATGGCACATCAGACGAATAGGGCGGTAACTGGAGCAGTTAGCAATCTTCTTTCTTCTCAAAATGGACACGGTGATGCTTTTTGACCAATCTTTCGGAATTCTTCCTTTTCCTATGCAATTGTTGAAAAGTTCTATTAGAAAGGGGCAGCCCCCAAATTCATTCCAGATCTCTGCAGGAGTGTCGTCTGGCCCAGCGGCTATCATGTTCTTCGTCTTTTTACGACCTCTTTGAATTCGTCTTCACTTGTGCGAAGAATAGGTCCTTTGATCAACGGCTCTTCAGGGTGCGGTGGATGCGGGAAATCTACATTACATATCTCTTGAAAGTATTCCTGCCAGCGGCTTTTGATTTTGTGAAAATCGTACAGTACGTCCATCCTTCACTATACTCGATAGATGTTGTGGTCTTAGTAAAGTCTTGTGTTGCCCTGGAGCGGCCCTTGGCAAAACTGTGAATCTGTTTTCGCCTTCTTTGGTATTGAGGTTCGCAATCAGCGCATCCGTTTTTTCTTTTATCAGTCTAGCTATTGTCCGTTTAGCTTCCCTCTCTGCTTCACAGCATTTTGTTCTATTTCATCTGTAAGGTGGGCGGAAGTGGTGTAGTGACAAGTGGCGCGCTCACCACGCGAGCGGTCCAGGGATCAAATCCTGGGTCGTGAGTCGCCCGGGCCAATCAAACCTTCCATCCCTCCGGGATCGGTTGACTGGTACCAGACTTGTCTGGGAGGATAAAAAAACACTGACTTGTACATCGGCTGCCCCCACAAGTCATTGTATAGGCCACATCACATTCAAAAGCCACTGCGAATGTACAAATGGAAGTAGAATGCGTGCCGCATCCCAAAAAGGGATTGATCAACGGCAAATTCTTTATCCTTTTTGCTTTCATCTGTAGGATTGAGGTGCCAAGTTCTGTACGCCTTCTTTATAGTTTCAATCAGATGGCTACATCGTTTCTCCAAAAGCAAACAGACTGATCCAGTGCACTTCCATTTCCTCCCCATAGCCGATTTTACTCGCAGTGTTTCGCATTTCTGGGACGAGTCGTGTAGTCTTGCTCAATGTCATCGGACCTGGCTTGCTGGATCTTCACCGATGTGTAACTTCTTTCAGATCGTCCAAGGTCGTTGATTTTTACCACCTCAGAAGCTTTTTACTAATTCTTGGCTGCATGAAGGCAAGTGAGTCTCCTGGCATTCTAATCGTGGCGTAAATGGGACGATGACTGCAAACGTTTATCGATGGGATTACCTTACAGTCGAGGACATTGCATCGATGGTTCTTCTTTGACAGGATGTAGTTGACCTGTGCCTTATGATCTCCATCGTAGTATATGACGAGGTATGGTTCTTTCTTTTGGAACAGTGAATTGGCAATGACCAGAACCAGCGACTTGGCATATTCTAAAATCCATGATCCATCTTCATTCTTTACACCATGTACAAATCTTTCCTGTGTGTCCTGGTACTGATTATTTTCAGTACTGACATACCCATTGAGACCTCCCATTATGTATGTACATATCATTGGCGCCAAGCGTGGAAGTAACATCGGCATGTTGCTCCCAGAACTGATCCAGACAGCATTTGGTAGGTTTGCTTGTGGGACGTACATACAGACAAAATAAGTGAGTCTCCTGCCGAAGACCATGGCCACATGTATGATACGGTAGAAATTCTTTGTATATCCTTGAGTTCTAACTTCTGTGACGGCGATAGCGACACCATTGACTTTCAATTGTTCTCTTTGTTATACAAACTGTATCCAACAATCGTTTTAGTCTTGGCGCTGGTCCACTTTGTTTCCTGTAATGCACAGACGTCGATGTTTCCTTCTCTGAGCATTTCTGCCACTTCAGCAGCTCAGCCAGTCAGACTACCAGCGTTGAGTGTGACATCCTGATGGTCTTAAGTTCTCCTTCACGGAGGACTTCCTAGCTCATTTGTCCATTTCGGTGGACGTCCTAGCCTGACCCGTTACAAAGGGTGATCAGCATTGTTCGGGACACTCGAAAAATCCATTGACCATATTTGTGCATAATTTGAAGTTTTGGTGTCCTTCCGAGTGAAGTTGTGCTTCCTCTATCCTCTGAAGGCACTTTCCGCGTTAGCCGGCCAAGGGCCGTTGCCACTTCCACGCCACTGACCAACGGGTGCTTTGTGCTTTCGTAAATTCCTTAGATGTAATAGTTTAGCAAAGTGGACATAGCGCTGTAGACTAGAAAATTAACTCTGTTCAATGATCATTAAGGTGAACTGACATATTCAGGATGACAAAAAAGGTGTTGAGGATTTTCGCAAAAATAACGAGGAAAAGTGTTGAGGTGCGCGAGTTATTACGTTTTCAGCCATCACTTTCAAATGCATTGCATCGATAAACGCGTAGTAAACTAGAAGATTTGCCCTATTGAACTGCCACTGAAATGACTTGATCCGTTTAGTATGTCGAAAATGGCTGCGTTGAGAATTTTGCCTGAGTATCGTCTAAAGATTCTCCTTCGATGTATTATCACTCTTTCAACAACCTAGTATCTTTCTGACAATTTTGCACAAGCTTGAAGACAGCACTAGAATTCACAAGCTTCCTAGTTTCTAACAACTATTCAAGTGTACTGCAAGAAATGTGTGATAAAATGTGGCACTCCAAATATTTATTGCAAAAGACTCTGGAACTTTTCACGAAAGAAATTGCAAATTGTGCGCATGCAAAAACTCTGCAAAAGCTTAGGTCTTTTTTGGCATTCTTTTGCCGCACACCTTTTGCAATTTCTTCTGTGAAAAGTTTCAAAGCCTTTTGCAATGAATATTTGGAGTCTCACATTTTATCACACTTTAGATAGACATGAGACGCATGGCACTGGTCCATTTTGTTTAGGGATGCACCACGTACTATGCACCGGCGCAGTCGCGGTTCCTATCCACTTCCGGACAGGCCACCGCTGCCCTGATCACTGCTGACCCCGACACTTACGACCAACTCGCTCTCGTTGGCCCTGATACGACCCCTCGATGGATTCCTCTAGACCGCTTGACCCTGGTCGCCCCTTTCACCACCAAGTTAATCATAAGAGAGGAAATTCTATGCAGCCATAGACTCTCGTTAACATTGAGCGGTATAATCGAGTTTTTTGAGGTTGGTCAACAGTAACCCACTATCGCGATGAGTGACTGTAGTTCAAGTCAGAAGGCTAAAATCGTTTAAACACCATCTCATTTCCGTGTAGCGTCAAATATGTCAAATAGACCATAGCCATGTACACAACGTGCAACCTAAACGCATTCCTCATTCCAGAGCTTTCTAAACGTGAATAAACTCTAAATGTTACTGCGAGGAGAGCAGCACAGCGCGGAAGTGCTGCAGTGACCTCCATATTGACCAAGCACTTATTCAAAGCAACAGTTCTAGGAACGGTTTCGCGGAAAAAACCATCAATAATGAAGTTGTAGTATGAAAACCAGAACGATTAATGTATGAAAAACTGGAAAAAAAAAACGTCGGGAGGCGTCTATTTTTTTTTTTTTTTTGGACAGGTACTCTCCCTCTGCCGCTCAGCAATGGATAAAGACGCACGTTGACGAGTTGTCTGAACGTGCCGCTGTAAACGCGCCTCCATTTTCAATCAATTTTCCTGTGTCCAAAACGAGCACGATTGCCGACGCGTCCCAATGACGGCGGCAAGGGGCGGGGATTGAGGAAATCCCAAGAACACCCATATATTGAGGGACTTTCCACCCTGTTTTTGAGTTTCTGAGGATGAGTTCGTTTATTATTTCCACTGCTTATGTTCTTCACTAGGAGCTCGTGTATCCCTCAGTAGTAGTGGCATTGAAATTTTCGGACCCTCCCTGAACTGTTGCTTCAACGATTCAGCTGGCCACCTCGCAACCTGCTCAATACAGAGTGCAACGAATGCGACTCATTCTGAGATAGCTGGATTCAATCAGCAGAAAGCGCGTGCTTAAATATACCTTGAGAAGATCGGCGGCATCCACTGTCCATAATTCAAGCCCACTGGATTGTAAGGGAGTAAATTTCTGCAAAAGAATGTATTTCATCATGACTATGCAACGAACTAGGTCTGGGTCAGAATGTGCCCATCGCGACGACGAGGCAATGCACCATCGAAAGCCGTGCACTATATGCCACGGAAAAGGCGGAAAGAAGTCACACGCCATCAGGAAGGTGACCAGTTTCAATCGTCCGTTCGCACTATTCGAACAAGGGAGACGCATTTGTGATTTCGGACGGGGGGGGGTATTTCGTGGTTGAGGGGTTGAGCAAAGCTGTCACGGCGGAAACGTAGGTTGACGGAGGTGTCTATGTTTAGACGTTTTATTCTGACAAATTTGGCACAAAAGTAGTGAGAAGTACGGAAAATCTATGTACTTGCCGCTTCATTATACCAATTTTAAATGTGTAGTAATAGTTATACCAATTTTAATTTATCCTGCCCCTATGGAAACATCCATAAGCCATGATAGCGAGGTAGGTAGTCGGAGAAGGAGTAAGGGGGATCGTGTTGGGGAGCCTTCTAAGACTGATTGATGGTGGTGGTGATGGTGGGGGAGGAGGTCGCATTGAGACCCCTCTAAAAGGGTGGTCGCGAAACCCTTGAAAAGGGGCGAACGTGACGGTTGACCCTGGCAGTGACCCGGCATCGCCAGCCTGCCGCCGCGGTGGATACCTTCTGACCTGATTCTTTTTGGAAAAAAACACGCACTGCAGCCGTTTTATTCCGTTGAAATATAAGGCGTTTGTTCACTAATATACAGTTTACTCCTTCATCGTCTTCAACTGGTATAATCCTATATCTGAGCATAGCTTCTCCTTCGAGAACCTGGAAATATAAATCACTCGTCATGAAAAATGCTGAAAGCAATCTCGAAAACAAAGCTTGCTCACCTTCAGGATATTTTGCGCTTCCTTGCTGGTTCCGATTGCAAGGATACCAGGTGCTGCGACAGCAACGTAATATCTGAGACACTGGGCCTTATCTGACATGTGTATTGGGATTACGGCATGATCACAAAACACCCGTGCAACTGCCTGGAAATTTCATGAATAAAAGCTTCCCGTTTGCTCCCGAAAGACAAACAATGAATCTAAATGAAAAGTGACCAGCTACAGCAGCGGCCAAAAAATTGTAACTTTTTTATTTTTGATCTAGTGACCCACATAATAACGAAGAGCCAAAGCTCCACAATTTCGAAGCGAATTCAGCACAATAGCTCTCGAATTTTCAATGAGACATTATTAGCTCATGAAGAAAGTTTTTGCGCTTTTCAACCTCGAATTTCGAACGCTTTTATCTCGGCGTATTCGAAACATTTTTGAGTGTAGCAAAAAGTGTTCGAATCCACAAGTCACTGCCAAAAAAAAACGGGATGAATTTGCCCGGTCGTGCAGGATACGGGAACTCTAAAGACGATGAACCCGGCGGAGGTCGTTTCAGCATCATCTTGGGTTTCGAAGCATAACTCTTTGAAGAAGCTATTCATGTCATCGAGAGAGAGATACATTACAGGAAAAAGGTCTGCAGATTAAATAATCGCAGTACTAATTCGTAGCCTAACTGTTTCAACTTGTGCAGGGTTGGTTGTACGATGTGCATCCGAGCCAACTGTCAGGTATGAGTCCGTTCCTTTATAGTGAGGAGTATTGGGCAAATGTACCAAAGCACCAGGAGTATTTCGACACCTTGTCATAAGTGCTTTCCCGCGTTAACAGTTCCACCAAGTTCCGAAGGACTAGACCAGCAGCAACCTTATGAAAGTCACCTCAACCATACTTCAATACAGTTTCAGTTTTGAAAGTTTGTGGAGCCTGATCGCGATCGATCCATTCAGCAGAGGTTCCTATGGTGTGGCAGAGGAACCGTTATTAACCCTTTGACGACCGTGTGGCCCGCCGGTGGGCCACACTTTCTCTCTAGCGACGCGTTTTTAGGGATTTATTTTGGCATTTTTTATGTTTCAAAACTACACAAATACATCATCGAATTCGAGGAATAATTATATTAAAATAGAATACAAAAATTAATTATATTAAAATAGAATAATTAAATTTATTAATAAAATTAATAATAGTGAAATTGTTGGAAAGTTTATGATTACTGACGAAAAAATTTAGAAAGAAGTGAAGTGACGCACTCATAACGGCGGTCGTCAAAGGGTTAATCATACTTCGCAAACGAGTGGAAAAGCAGGCCGTTTTTATTACATAAAACAAGCTAGAAAGCGGCGGACAACTCTTCAAAATGGTGAGTTGTCGCAGCACGCTCTATTTAAATTTATGAGATTTTCCAGACCCTTCCCATAAAACAGGAAACCACAAAACACTGGCGATCAGTTGAGGAGGATCATCCCACTCAATTCGCGTGAAAATTTTTGATACGCGGTCAAAAAAGCCATAAACTGTCATGTGGGAGCACTGGCTAAACTCGTAATGAATTGCTCGCTAACTCTTCGTCCAAGCAAATTCAGCGAGAATTGATGGGCCGTATATGAAAGTCTTTTCAAAACTGCTGCAGACAACAAGATGAGCTCCTACTTCAAGCTCGGCCCAACATCGCTGAGCTAAACGGCTCACAACACAGTGTCAGCCAGGAGAATATTTAGTAGGTTAGGAAGACAGATTCGAGATCACAGTTTGAAGGCGCATCTAGGGTATGCAGGTCTTCTTGGATGGCTGGCGATCTGGGATCTTTTACGTGAATGCTTAGGAAAGTGGTAAAGAGATAGGAGGAAGGAGGACTGGATTGAACCACTGTCGTGATAGAATCCTTATTATACTGATTTTTTCGGCATGTTCTGAGGAGCGATTAGAAGGCGGAGGAAAGGAGTGTATTCTTCAGACTGTCCTTGAGCTTAGCCAAGTCCACATTCGCTGGATAGTAAGAGCCGAGAAAATGTCGAATGTTTGATACTCCTCATTCATGGTGAATCTTCCACTCTTTCTGAACGCAATTTTTTATAAATTTTTTCTCGCCTTTACCAGAATAGCCGTTAACTTTCGGACGTTCCTTCTCTTGAAAGCTCAGCTATGACTTTTCTTGAGAGGCGTTTTTTTGTGAAGGGCCGTTCTGTATATGCTTGCTCGACTCTAACAACGCTAAAAATATTGAATAGCGCTTTCCACTTAATTCTATATCTTCTATGTGAATTTTAGGCAATTTCTTTGTTCGCTGGCCACGACAGATTGAAACGTAAAAGTTCCTGAGCCCTGAGCGCTAGAGTATACTGTAAACGGAAACTCACTTTGGCACCTTCGAAATTCGTGCCGTTTTTACGAACACCGACGAAGATTTCTTTACCAGTGAAAAACACATCTCCACCTTCAAGGACAACAGATTTGCCGTCGACATTTTCTGGACACTCTTGCACGTCATGGCAACAGGATGGCAGGATACGCCGTAACTGAAAAACGTTCTCGTTTAACCCCTTTCGGACCTGAATTTTTTCTCCGTGGACGAAAATTTTTTCTACTATTCCTTATTGCTTGTGAGCATATAAGTATCATTATGGCGAAATTGGAAGCTATTCGATCACAAACAAAGAAACTGAGAAGCTTTGAAAATTTGCCCACCTTCTTGGTTTTTAAGCTTATGTCGAAACAATTCGGAATTTCATAGTTACGCCGAAAAAGCTTATAATCTTGCATAACATTATAACCCATAATTTTGATCAAAGAATGGATCTACTTCAAGTATTTCAGGGAAAAGTGACACCTACTTGGGCGGTTGCGGGGGCTAGCGCCCATTCATTCTTGCATTTGTACACAAATACTTTTAATACTAACAGCAACACACAATGAAATGGCAGGTTTAGCTCATAATTAGGAAGGGGAAGGTTGAGTGAGGCAAACTTCAACAGGATTAGGAAAACCATGTTATTTCAGCGGCAATGCAAGCGTTTGAATTTTGTGGTGGCAATTGCCACCGCCAGGGCCGAAAGGGTTAAGAACAAAATCTTAGCTCGACGCTATGATAATTTGCCAAAGAAATTTAGAGAATTGTGAGAACAGATGAGTGTAGGACGCTGTAATTTTAGGACTGGTTACAGATCTTCCACTTTTAAGGAAAAAATTGTAGGTTGAAGACTCTTGTAAGCGAGCTCTGCATCATCGCCTCGTAACTAACAAATAAATCTGCCTTTCACAGCTTCTTGGCAATGCTACGAAGAAAACTACGCAGGTCTTTTTTGACAAATTTAGTTCCAATATTCACTTATATGAAAACGAAATGTCAATGTCAGTCGAGAGCCAAACCGATGGGTCATCATCCTCATGTCTATCAGGGGTTCACGTTTTTCTGTTTTTGAATTTTAGATTTTGATTAGAAATTTGACGAATTCTTACTGTTTTGCATTTTGTCAGTCTGTAGTTTTGTCTTCTCTGTATATATTACGGTGACAAGATTAAATGGTTATTAGCCCATTCCGACTTAGGCGAACACCCAAATTAACAACGCCATTATATTAGTGGAAGGTTATCGAAAAGAAAACGATATCATTGTTTGGAGTGGCCGCTTTCTGACGCATGATCGAAGACTTGCTGGGGACTATCGGCTCTGTACGGGTATGTGTAGCCAAGTAGGTCCAAGGCTTTCGAGAGCGGCTGCTCAACAAGTCGATATTCCGATTATACTCATAGCAGTGGTTTGTTTTTGGCACACCCGATGTGAAGCATTTCGGAGGAAACGAATTGGAAGTATGGTGCCACTTTTGTGAAACGATGAGTTCCACGATATTCTGTTGGCATCAATCATTGGACAATCTGCGATTGTGGATGAGCACTCAATCCTGCTCTGACGCTTTATTCTTCCCTACTGAAAGTCCTCTTGAACTTCGCCATCAGCTGAGTCTTGAGTTCGAGATAATCCTATTGTTCAGTTTTGGATATAAAAGAAATATTGAGCAGCACAGGTCCGAGTTGCCTTCATTTCAGGATTCCTTCTCTCACTATTCTGCGAGAACCGTCAATGAATGCATTATTAGGTCCTCTGTAGAATTGGTCCGATTGCACTTTTTATTCAGGACAGCCCGACAGCAGAACACTTTCTCATCAGAGGAAGCGATCAATAAATGAAGCTCATTACGGACTCAAGACAACGTTTATTAGCACCTCTGCTCCTAGTTCAATTTGCTCGCATGGATCAAACGTTAGCCATTTTCACGCCGGTAAATCACGTACTTGTGGTGATGCTAACAGGACTACGTGAAGCGCTTCATAGAAGTTTTAGGGACCAAACGACAATTGAAAGAGCTGAATTTTAGAGCTGCTCCGCAAGTACCTTTGAGATTTGCTGCTAGAGTCAAAGAAGGGATCATCTCATGTCTGAGTCTTCTGATTTTGATACACAGCGTGCTGAACTTTACAATGGTGGTTGATGGAAGTTTCATGCAGTCTGGTGGGCCAATGAAGTTTCATGCAGCCTCTGAATAGTCTGATGATGACACAATCAAAAAGGCCCGTCGATTCAAAGGAATGATTGTTTCTGAAAGAGTTAAACGATTGCCCACTACGGAAATTATATGTTTCATAGGACGAACTCAAAGGCAGAAAATCGTAGAAATCGCAAAAGTTATCATAATAACTACGTAGGATATGAAGCAAAAACTCCTGGTGTTTCTAATTAAAAATTGCGAGTGGAATGCTTCTGTTATCATAAAATGCTCATCCTGAATATGCTGGCATTAGTCAGTCCCAAAGCCTCACGTTGATCCAAATGTTACAAGTCTATCAGGCTGCGAGTTTATTTCTAAACAGACCAACAGCATTTCAAAGAATCCCACAAAAGTTTATTTTGTACGTGGCGCTTAGTTAGTTGAAAATGGGATAGTATAATTGAGCCTTCTTAGCTCTGCCTCTAAAGTTTTCTTCTTTAGCGGCGTTCACAGTAAGCAGTGGAGTATATTTTGGCAGCTTACACAAAAGAACATTCACGAGCATGTATCTTACCAGGAAAGTCTTTCAGGACATGAAGCGCTTTTGCAAAACATACTTCTGCTTTTGATAGAGGAGATAGATAGATACGGGACACGGAAAAATGACCAGTTTTTTTTTCTTAGCGGCCCTGTGAAACCAAAAAAAAGGAATGAAATACCATAAAGTGATCGATTTCGGCTGGTGACAAAATTTTACCTTTAAATTGAGCCTGCCAAATGGCGCCAATTATTACCTGTTCCAAAAAATAGAAAAATAGAAAAAAAAAGATTACGAGTCTGGCGTCCATTTTTGATGACGGCGCAATACAGTGCCATTTTAGCCTCATGCTTATGTACTGTCCAATGTTAACTCAAGCACTTCTCAAGACCCTTTGTAACAGAAGGACGACGGGAGTTTGAGCGCGTAACAATCCTTTTTCCTTTGAGTTTTTTAATACTTACAGAAACAAATACAATTTTTGTCCATCTCGTTTTTATCGCGAATCTCAAGCCAGAGATAGCCAATGATGGGTGAGTAATCTAGACTGAAAGTACGTAAGACTCAAAAAACTTAGCTAAATCGAGGCATTTCTTACCACTCTCCGAGCAAAGTCATTAGTTGTTACGACGACAAGGCGCGACGCATACAACTCGCGCAATGCACTCTACATGAGACACGCAGGACGTGTGTACACGGGGGGGGGGGGGCAAAAAAAGAGTCACTTTGCCTATGGCACACATCATCAAATTTTTCTTCGCACAGAATGCCGCAGCTAATGAATGTTTTACGGCAGAATATTCCTTAGGTGTCTCCTCATCAGCAGAAGCAGCCCCTACTCCAATGCCCTCATGGTCTTCAGAATATGACGTCATCTACCGTCGCCGTCAAGCTCAACTGTGCTTACCGTAATCGCTCCGGCCTGAAGCTGCAACCTAATTTCTTCAATCGGTTAAGGGGTGAGTAGCTTCCCAAAGACACCAGCTGTGGCTGTGCAAGACCGCTTTTGACCGGCGCTTCAGGGACGTCGTAATGGTCTATGGTACCTCGACGACGTCGTTGAGCTCGTACCGTAAACCATGTTTCCGTGAGAAAATCTTCTGATGTCGTGTGTGTAGAAGGCTGTCATGTGATTTGATAGACTTGAATGTGCTCTTTAATATGCAATTGGGCTCTTTTGATTTGGTTCCGCAGTTCGAGATTAATTGCGTTTTGAATGTGAAGAGAAGTGACTCTTTTTTTTGCCCCCCCCCCCTGTATGTCCCGCACCCATGGCATGCATTTTTCGCGCATGCGCGATTTCGTCTCACTTTTTTGTATTTATTCTTTAGATTATACCTTGCCATGTCTATAGATGATTTGGCCCACAAAACACCCAAATAGATCTAGTTAAGCGAACGTTTTCTGATCTTTGCGATAATTTATGAAATAAAGAGAAAAAAAAACGGAATTTGCGAAAGGAAAATGGAAGGAGTTTGCGCATGTACGAATAATGGACCACATTAGCGCAAGTCTATTTTTCACATTACTCCAGGCTACCTGCGAACCGATGCCTTTTATGTCCGCACGGTCGTCAGTATGTTGCAGAACTATATTGCCTGCTCATTACCGATTTGCTACTTGCTTACCCATTACCCATTACCAACCGATTTACTTCGAAGGTAGCATGGACCAAACAAATATGTGGTCGAGGGAATTGAGTACCACTTTAACGCATTCACGCCGATGGCCGCCCATATGGGCTGCCAACAGTATGTGTTCCTGGGACAATAGCAGCCCTTTTGGGCTGCCAGCCGCTTCCCAGGTGCTAGGGATGAAAAAATGGGTGTGTAACTCTCGTAATCGAGTTCACAATGCTTTTAAATTCCTTCGCGTGGAAAGTGAATAGATGCTTTCTTTTCGTTACATATTCGTGCGATCGAAATACTAGTGCTATATGTTTAGATAATCATTACGCATTGGACATTGCAGAAATTATTTTGTGACATTCATGATTTTGTCCATTTACAAAACCAAATCTGCGGTTATGGGTGAGGCGGCGGCGCCCACTAAATCGCGTCCGTCCCACGCGACCGAAAGTGGGAAAGGGGCGCCGTCGTGAATGTGTTAAAAAGAGGCTTTTCCACAGAATCTCAGTAAGTTACTTTGTTAAGCTAAGTTGTTTGTTGCTTGTCCAAAAGCGTGATCACAGTTTGGGGTCATCGGTCATTATGCACCTATTCCTAAGGTAGTTGTCAAGAGTTCGCGATTGCAATCGCAGGCACGATGAAGGTTGGATCGAGTCGTTATTGAGCCACATGTTCGACCGCGATTCTGGCGCGATGCCCGAATCGCGCGTCGTCACACTCGCGACTGAGATCGCAAAGTCTGACACCTACCTTGGAGAAACATCCCTAGCCGAATTGGTGGCGTAAAAACGGTCATAATGAAACTGTGGAGAGAGACTGAAACTGTGGAGTAGACTGAAAATGAAAAAGAAGCTAGGAAAACCGCCGATTAAGCCTTTAAGCACAGTCTCCCCTTCTTCCCTCTTACAAAGGAGGTCGTTCTGGGTGTGCCAAGCTTTTTCAAAATGGTTTCTTGCATGACATTGGGGCACATATGGGGACCACAGAAAATGGTTCATTTTTCCTGAACGGCCCTCTGAATACCAGAAAAGGGGTCTCTAGTTCGATTTTCGTGGTGACAAATTTTTGCATTCCGAGTTGACGTTTCAAAATTCGCGCAAAATGGAGTCAGCGTGAATAATTAGTACCTTTATGATTAGGACCGTCATTAACCTTTACAAATAGACTTTGATTGGAAAAGTGGTGAAAAAGGTGTGACTAGGGACCCCACTTTTCTGGTATTCAGAGGGCCGTTCAGGAAAAATGTGGCCGGACAAGCTACCGAGCTAGCATGTTCCACCAGCATTTATTGCTGGCTCCGTGCCGCAAATACGGCTGCAATCTCATGCGCATTCACCCACTCTGGAGTTTCACCCCCCTCCCCTAAGCTTAGTCTTAGGCGCTATAGGTGAGAAAGCTTAGAAATGCAGAAAATATGCGTTTAACAGCAAAAAATGTCAAAAACGAGTGTCATATTCGTAATGAGGGCCCCAAATAACCCTTACACCGAGGTTTACAGCGAACGGTGACAATCAGTCGTGGCGCCAATTTGGCGCCAGCACCAAAATGGATGTGACATTTGTACAGGACTCTCGATAACCCCCACAGCAGAAGTTTCAGCGAAAATTATTTTTTTTGACCCATCTCGGCCCCCACTGGGGTTGTAATAGTGCAATAGTGCCCACTGTTCACTATGACTGCCGTCACACTCGGTGACGGACGAGCGATGGAGCGATCGCGATGGCTCCATCGCTTATCCGACGCCCAGTGTGCGGTCTAAAGCTGGTTAAACAATAATTATAATACAAAAAGCTATCTGATAACCAACAAAACGAAT